CTCACGCCTTTAAAGTACACACCAAAATTTCAGTCTCTGATCAGACTTAGCTAACACTTGTCCCCCTTGCTGGAATGGGATGGGATTTTCTATCTCTCTCTCTCTCTCTCTCTCTCTTCTAAAATCGATGACCAACTGGAAATTTTTTCTGTTGTGATTGTGATGTTGCTTCTTTCAGTAATAATCAATACTCTCTTTCTCTTTATGTTATACATATAATTAAAAGAAATGGGATGCATGCATACGTTAATAGAACACAAAAGGCATGCAGAAAAGAAAGGCATGTATGCAAATGTGTACAATTCTAAGTGGAAGAAGATGAGATCAAAGCCATCAGAATGGCATGCAGAGTACAGGACAACTAATAGGCCCTGCAGATGCTGCTATTTTTGTCTCCCTCTCATACAATAGCTTTAACTAAAGCTGGGGGCTAAAATATGTGCAAGTTCGTATAACTAGAAGATGTTTGGTCTTTCAGGAAAAAATTGTGTGCTGTCCTTTATTTTTCCTTTGTTGTCAGTTGTACTTGTAAGCTGTAACAGACCCTTTTGACCATCTTACTATAATATTCCCTCCATCATCTTCTTTCCTTTTTGCTTTCAACCTTCAGCCTACTTTCTTTTGTGTTTTCCTTGTCAATTTGCTGCTTTCTTCTCCCTCTCCTATTTAAGATTTCAAAAGTTCTTGAAAAGCCTCCATCCTATCAATACATTTTTTGCGTATAAAAACACTTTGTATTTTCCTTCTCAATTTGCTGCTTTCTTCTCCCTCTCCTATTTTAAAGATTTCAAAGGTGTTTGAAAAGTCTCGTTCTATCAATACATTTACTGCATACAAAAACACACACAACACAGTAAGAAAGAAGAATCAATATTTTAAGGAGCAATCATGCAGGTAGTGAAGGAGTCATCAAGCATCCCAATGGACAAACCCGGAGAATCCCATTCCCTAGGATTGAGAATGGAGTCAATCTATGAGAAGGTGCGCCTCTTGGCATCAGGCAATGCGGTGGTCATCTTCACCATGAGTGGCTGCTGCATGTGTCATGTTGTTAAGCAACTGCTCTTTGGCTTAGGCGTAGCCCCGACAATCGTGGAGCTCGACCACGACGCTGCTGGCCGTGAAATCCATTCTCTTCTCTTGCAGCTCTCTGGCAAAACTCAGCAACAACCTGTTCCTGCAGTCTTTGTGGGGGGCAAGTTCTTGGGTGGCATTGAAACAGTCATGGCTTGCCATATTAATGGCAGTCTGGTTCCTCTCCTTAAGGATGCCGGAGCGCTTTGGCTCTGATTTCTTGATCAGCTTCATAATATCATTACCAGAATTTCTCACAACCCCTGAACCCCATTACTGTCCTTTTTTCTACTTTTGCTTTTAGTAGTTTTTTGACGTGTGAATTAGTAGAATGTCGGTACTTATTATAGGGTAAGCCGGGCTAACAAGATAGCAACTTAATGATCTGATATGATCAGAGGCTATAATTTCTGTTGGATAGGAGACACAGAGGAGTTAGCTTGGATGAATGGAAATGTTTAGATGAAGTGGGATTATTACTGTGTAATATTGTTCATCATCTAACAAGAACTAGAGATTAATCATATGGATTCAAGGGAGTCATATATCAATCTTTTTCAGTGCCCCTATTTAATTAGTCGGCTAATATCACATTGCAAATGCTCTTTCTATTGCTGTTAACATCTTAAATTCGAGCTAATAAATTGGTTACAACTTACAAGTAACTGCATGCTAATTGGTATCAAAACAAGCTGTTCAACCAGAGATGAGCCCCTCATGCTACTTGGGATTTTCTGTGTCCTGCTTTTTGTTTTACGTTCTTGGCTTTTATGCCTGTTTAACCCAGTTTTCATGCCAATATATCTGTTCTTGACCACAGCAAGGATAGAGCTTTCATGCCTTGTCTTTGCTTTGCCCCTTAAAGAAAAGAACAAACAAAAAATGTTAAGGACTCAATTTGTCCCGGTCAAATCTTACCCTGAATTTGAACTCTCATGACTTACTTGACGTGCGTCGTGTGGGATTGCGGTGTATTCCTCAAATTTGGTATGTCGACTCGAGTCCAAAAATGACTAGAGTCGGAGCATGTTCCAGGTAAAAAAAAAAAAAAAATCTTGCATTTTAATTTAGACTTTAAGGTACACAGTGATGTCCTCATAGGTCTCTACATATGCCACCAGATCATTTTCTTATTCATATGCAACAGTTTGCGAATAGTTTAATACCTTGAAGTGACCTTGCTCATTATCTCTTGTATCTCTTTGATAATTAACTTTTTCAACTGATTGAGGAATTTGACGAGTAATCTTAATAATGGATCAGTTCGTGCTGTTCTAGTAAGTTCATAATAGTAGGGTACACGTTCCACTTCGATTTAAGAAATTGAAACAATGGTTACTCTTTTTATGGAAATTGTTTTGCGATTCTGACTGCAATAGGCCAAAAGATAAAGAGGAAGGAGCTATTTTGATTTTGATCCATTTAAGACAATATATATGTTCCTTCTATTTTGGTAAAATTGAAGGCAACTCTTTATTAGCCCAATTGGAGCTAATCTACATGCTACTAAGTACCACCATCTATAAAGATATAAAATGAAAATTAATAGATGAAAAAATTATTGTTTCCCTCATGGCCATTGGCAATTGGCAACTAATTACTGGGGATTAAGCAACAGCCCCGAAAAGAGTCACTTTCATTAGTCACTTGTGCTTTCTGTGAACTGAATTCTACTGATGGATTAAGCTCGAATTTGCCTGATAATATATCTGCTGATTACAAGCCTTAAATTAAGGAATAAACAAAATCTTACTGATGTTTAAGTTGAAGGTCTAAGGCATCAGTTTCTATTATATCAAGGTTGTGAATTCAAAGCTTGTGCTGTTATTCATGCTCAAGAATTCATACTCTAAATTTGGGACGTCTAAAAATAACAAGCAATGCTGAGCCTTTGAGCCTGCCTTACAGCTCTTGCTCATGGTGTTGATACATCAGTACAGATGACCAGACGAGAGATAAATAAAACAAAGAAATTATAGCAACTTCTTTCCATTATTTCAATAACTCAGAGCAACAAACTAAGGGGTGCACAAAGCTCTGAAGATATCAAAATTACATGATCAGATAAACAAAAGGAAATTACGTCAAAGCAGGGTAATAAAGGTTAAAATTAGAGTTACAACTCAGAATTGAGAAAACTAAGATTCGTACATTAGGGGGAAAAAAAAAGGAAAAAAAGCAGCTCATATTCATTCGAGTAAATTTGTACAGAATGAGCATCAAAGGCACAGTACACATGTTACATTACCTAGAATCTTGTTAGTTGCATAGATGTCCCTAAATGGCAAGGTTTTGGTGGGGGGCAGATGAGCATCAAAGGAAAATACATTGGACCAAATGGAGTGCACTCACTGAGGTTAAAGAAAAGGGAGGACTAGGCTTCAGGGACCTGGAAATGCTCAACACAGCCTTACTAGCAAAGCAACTGTGGAGGATCATTGCTCAGCCTAATAGGCTTGTTAGTAGAGTTATGAGAGCAAAATACATGAAAAGAGAACAGGATTGGATGAGGCAAGCTTCTACATCAGCATCATACCTATGGAAGAGCCTACTGAGTGCAAGATTCCTTTTGATAAATGGCATAAGAAAACAAGTTGGGGATGGGAGTACTATCATGGTGTGGCAAGACAGATGGATACCAGATTCAAGAGATGGCAGAGTGGAACAAGATAGAGCAGCAAATGGGGACGTCCAATATGTCAAAGATTTGATGAAACAAGGACAATGGGATAAGGAGCTACTGAATAAAATATTTAGTAGAGAGATGGCCCAAAAGATTGCAAAAATACCACTCAGTATATACCAAAGAAAGGACAGGCTAATCTGGAACCACTCAAAGACTGGAGAGTACACAGTGAGATCAGGTTATGCACTAGCAAAGGAAATGGAGGCACAGGCAACAAAAACAGTGCAGATCAAGGAGCAGACAAGTAGCCATAACAGGAAGGAAAGTTTGTGGAAAAAAGTGTGGGGAACAAATGTTAAACACAAACTGAAACACTTTATTTGGAAATGTCTGCAAAACTATATTCCAGTTAATGACTTGGTGCACTGAAGAACAGGGAAGGGGGACAACATATGCACAAGCTGTGGGGATGGAATTGAAACTCTAGAGCATCTGTTTTTTGAATGTGACTATGCTAAGAAGATTTGGAAACTCAGTCCAATCAGCTGGGATGGATTAATAGACCTGCAAGCTTGCTTCTGGAGATGGTGGGAAGGACTCTTAGAAGCAACTCAAAGAGCCAATGGTAAGGAGCATATAGAACTAACAATCAATATCCTCTGGCAAATCTGGAAAGCAAGGAACAAGATCATTTTCGACAATGCAAAAGTGGAGGAAATCACAGTCGAAGGAAAGCTCAACAAGAATGGATGGAATTCAAGGAAGCTGTGGAACTAGAAGGAAGAGCTGGCATTGCTGAAGCAACCCCCAATCAGCATTTTAGAAGATGGAAGCCTCCAATAGAAGGTGTGTACAAGATAAACACTGATGCTGCAATTTCAGCACAGATGATCAGAACTGATAAAGGAATTGTTGCTAGGAACTGGAAAGGAGAGATCATGAAAGTTTGGGCCATAATGGAGGAGAAGATAGGGTAACCAGAACTAGAGGAGGCTACGGCAATCAGAGCAGCAATGCAGCTAGGAAAAGAAGCAGGCTGGTGGAAGATTGAAATACAATCAGACTGCAAAAGTGTGATTGACTGCATCCTAATAGTCTCATGCAACAACTACAACTGTGCTGTGATATTGGAGGACATACAAAAGCTGAGGGAGTTTTTTGATCAATGCAATTTCTCCTTTATATATAGGGAAGGAAATGAAGTGTGTCATAGGCTAGCAAAATTTGCCTTGAAGCTAGTTAATGATGTATATTGGGAATCAAATTTCCCAAGCTGGATTAAAGATCTAGCAAGAAAGGATTGTGAGGACAGCTAGCCCCTTTTGTAAAGCATACTTGTATTATCAAGTTTTAAATCAATACAAATGTTATCGTTTTGACAAAAAAAAAAAAGCATAGATGTCCCTAATGAGCAACAGCATCCTTAGGCTGAATGTTAGGCAGATTTCCTAGCCGTGATTTTGTCTTCTGAACAAGGAGATCAATCTCTTCTTCTTTATTGGCTCCAGCATCTTTAAGCTTGAAGAGCAGTTTTCGTTTAGTTAAATACATCTTTTGCACAATGAAACCAGGCTGCTCTGTTCTGGGTGGGATCTGCATTTTTGGAGGTATAAAATGCACCACAAATCTGTGCATGACAGACTCTGCCGGAAACTCATCCTTATGAAAGCTGTAAAACAGCTCTCTTGTATTATTGGATTGCCAAAATCCACCATCTTTCTTTTCTGCCTCTCCAGGACGATAAAATCTTTGCCCAATTACCATCATCCTCCCACCTTTTGTTTGAGTTATGTCCTACATTACAGAATGACAGTTCATCAATTGTGCGAAAACAGCACCAAAGTGATGGCAAGAGGTAAACAGATCACAGATCAGGGTTGTGGAACTGAACTTCCATCTGAGTTCATGTGCATTCACTGCATTAGTATTCGCAAGAGTTTTTATGAGTAAATGAGCAGTTTTGTGTGTATTAGAGATATTAGAAACACAACAAAAACTAAAGCATATTAGAGAAGTAAATATCGGAAAAAATTTTTGAAGTTTTCTTTCTAAAGTTATATTCTCATCCTGATCTATGTAGTGTGACATGGACTTCCCAATATAAAAGCTAAATTTTAAAAATTTTCACTAATACACCTATTGATTTGGAGATTTTGAACTTGTTAACGATCTCATCCAACACAGATACACAACAAAACAAGAGGGGGTTCTTGTTAGTCATTATTCTAGTGAGTGATGGTGCATTGGCCACCAAAAAGATTTGCAGTTTGTTCTGCTTCAACAGTAAAATGACATGGAAGAGAAGATGCATTAAAAAAGCAGGAAAAAAAAAAAGGACTGCTAGCAATCTAGTTGATAGTTCATAGCTGCTGCTACTGTATGTGCAGAATTGGCTTCTAACCGCGGTGGGAAGTTGAACAGAGCTAATTCACCTGTTCCTTTTCTAAAGAACTAAAACCAATATTTTGAGAGATCTCCATTTAACACAAAAGAAGAAACAGAAAGTGGAAGGTCTAAACATTTACATGATTAAAGTTATCAATTAGTTTGGTTGATTCAAAAAGTGTGGAAATCTATAATGACCTGCATTAACCAATAGGATCACCTCTCTAATAAAACCGACAAATGGTGTAGCATCAGTCGTAAATCATCGTAGGAGGAAAACATGAGGACCTAGAGAATAACAAAACTATTTCAAAAAGCACACCGCAGAGGGACTTATTTTGAAGACAGAAGCTGAATAGGAGCCTATTTGACAAACTATACAGTTCCAAAGCCTAACACCCCAACAAAGATTATGAAAGATCAATCACAGCTTAGCAGACAACAGACTAGTGCTAAAACAAAATCTTTGGATCAAGAACCAACACTGGGGTCAAAAGAATTGAAACAAGAGTAGTAAAACCTTGAAAATAATTATCAATGTTTTTCCATCTCATAATTAATCTACAATAAAATCAAAAATCAGAACATGTAACTTTATCTTTCACATTCATCCAGGACAACTTGGTTAACAAAATTCAGAAATTACCTTAATTATGGCCAGGTCAGGTTTCTGATTTGGTTCATAAGGAGCTAAGAGCACAGGATCCTCCTACAGTATTACAGAACAGTTATATAACGAGCTATCATGCAATTAAAGAAAGAGGAAATTTTGAATATTTCTTACCAGATCATACCGATTTCCATCATATCCAAAAGATTTGGGATAAATTTTGATAAATTATATTGACAATTCAAAATTAGCTTTAACATTTTTTTTCTATTAGATTTTCCGTTCATAAAATTGGCTTGGATATCAATTTTCTAAGGGTAAATTCTGCAATTTTTGTTTGAAGTTGTGCGAGTTTTTGTTTGAATCAGCTGGATCGATCAAGTTTTGATAAAATACATCCAATTATCACGACTTTATAAATATTTTACTGCTCGATCTTTAATCTTATGAAGATATTTAAAAATTTTGATAATTTTTGAAAAATATTTAAAATATTAATTTTGAATCTCTATCACGACTTGTTAATATTTTTGTTTAATGCCATTTGTACACCCAAAGAGTCTCATTGAGCATCAACTCATCAAGTTTTGCTAAATGTTTTCAACAGAGGAGACTCAACTAGAAATATCATAATTTACATCTAAAGGATTGACTCGAAACATCACAGAGTTTGGGACTCCATGCACATGATTTTGGTCAAAATTTAAATTTACATTATAGTTAATCTTATATTATTCTCTAGCAATTTTGTATAAGTTTTATATTATTATTGGAAAATTGATTTCTATGATGATTTTAAGATTTATAGTACGAGTAAATCTTATATACACTGACAGTATATACACTATCACGGTTAAATGCCCGACTCATATACAAAATTTGATTTTCAAATTCAAATTCAGATTATGTGTTGTACGTCTAATGGTGAAAGTGTATACACTGTCAGTGTATAGAAGATTAATTCTTATAATATTCTTGAAAAATTGATTTCTATGAGGATTTTAGGGGTCTTTTTTTAATGTGTAAGTTTTATGATTTTAGTTTTCTGAGCCTTTAGTTTTCTACCAGGCAAGGGGCGATCCACCTGTAGGGTCAGGTTGAATCGTTACATTATTAGTACAATAATGTTGTATTAGAAGAAGTTTCCCTCTTTAACTGAAAAATGTTTCCTTTTTTCATTCCTCTTGAGTATAAATTTTAAAACAAGATTGAAGAATGTTGCTACCTTGAATATTAAATTATGTCATCATTAATAATCGCATATAAAAAAGTGGACTGCTTTGATAAATTTTTTTTTTTTTTGATAAAGTGCTTTGATAAATCTTTAACCCTTAAAAGAAACTTGCTTCTATGGATCTTTGCCTTTTTGCTCCAATTGCAAAATTTCTTCATATAAATCTCCTTTTATTCTACTGCATGTCTAATTGTACTGATTTTCCAATACTAAAGAGAAATATAGAGAGAGAAAGTGACTTCCAAGAGAAAAATGGAGAGAGTGTCTCTCCAATTTTATGATTTTATGTTGTTAGGTTTTGGTGAGACATTCACTTTCAATACTCCAATTTTGTAATTGAATTCCGCCCCCCCCCTCCCCAAATAGATATTTATCTCCTAGTTTGTCGATTTTAGATTTCCTATTTTTGAATTGAATATGAAACTCAAATTCTAAATTTGAAACATGCTATTCGGTGATAACGGCTTTTAAGTGGAGTAAAATTTATGTTCTTTTTTATTTGGTATGTATTTTCAAATATTAAGTAATTATAAATACTAGTTTGTTCATATCTTTGGAAAAATTAAATTTCTGGATTTTATATCTTTTTCATTATGACAAGCATATAAAATTTTCTCATCCTATGTCGTTTGTCATGAATTACCTAATAGTGTAAATAAATAAATTACAACAAGAATGAAATACAAGCAGAAGAAAAATAATATATTATAATAAGCATACAAATAGTAATGCAATACGAAAGTGACAAAAACAGTGAGATGAGAGAAGTGAAAAAAAAAAAAGAAAAAGGAAATTAAAGTAGCAGTTAAAAAAATGAATCATTGAACAAGGAGAAAAGTAAAACAATATAAGAAGTGTACTTTTTTCCAAAAAAAAAGTACTAATGGTGGTTAAGTCACTATTTGATGAGTCTAGGAGATAAATTGCAATTTGGGCAAAATACAGGGGAGTTTAGCGCATTTAATCCTAATTTAAATTTTCTTATAAAAATTAGAAAAGATAATTGTTTTTTAGTATGATTGGACCATTTTACCCTTGCTTCTAAGGGTAAAAATGAAATTTCAAAAAATGACAAAAAGTTATATCACCATACATCTTCTTAAGATCAATGTTTTTAAATTCGGACCGGAGAGTGAATCGGAGAACCTTTCGGTTCACGGTTTGACTGATTCAACCGGTTCGACTCCGGTTCAAAGGTTTAATAATTTTTTATTCATTTTAGGATTAAAAATTTTGAATAAAACTAAAATATTTATTTTAGAAAATAAATACTTAATAAAAACAAGTTGAATTGCAGAAGATTTCCTAAATTGAATGTCGTGGTTGTTAATTTCTGCTAGTAGTTCTCTTTTTTTGTGAAAAGAACAATGAATGCCGTGGTTGTTAAATAGTACCAAGATAAAGATCCATTAGCAATTAGGAAAGTTGGGTCATTAGGTATTACCAGCCCGAAAACTCAGATACCTCTGTGTTGTCAAAAAAAAAAATTAGGAAAGTTAGTGGTTTCCTAATCCTTTTCCTATGTTGTTCGGGAATCAGTTTGGCGGCAAATTCAAATACAAAGTATAACGGCTAGAGTTTTGATCTTTTATTTGGGGGTTTTTCAGGTTCAGCCCTTTGGCGTTTGGGGAATTTTATTTCAGTTCCTTTTCTTGACCAATGAATAAACTTGATACCAATTCAGACAGCTCCATGCCTCCCTGAATTCACTCAATGTTGGGAGAGGTTTTGGTGAAAGTAAAGTTGGGATCGATTTTAGATATTTGACAAAGGTAAATGTTGATCTTTGATCTTTTAGATAGATTTCCTCTATCTAAAAGCTTATAATTATAGAGATAAAATTTAACAAGACGTATATCCATAAATACACAATAATTTTTATTATTATGTTAGGGATACTGATATTTTTAAATATTATCTGTCTTAAGTGGTTTTAGGAAAAAAAATAGATAAATCTAGAGAAAAATGACATTAGAGGATAAAGTGCAAAACATGTTGATACCGTAAGAGGATTAATTGGAGAGTTAACCCCTAGGGGTATAAATATCTTTTTGATATTTCCATTATACAAGATTAAAGTTAACAAACGGTTTAGGAGATAAACTGAGGAAAAAAAATATTAGGGAGTAAAGTGCAAAATTCGTTAAACCTAAGGGGAATTTTTGTGATTAACCTTTTCCTAAATTCCAACCTCCCCTTGTCAAATTCAACCGTCACAAGGGGCGCTTCATTATTATGATCTAATAAGCCCAAACCACACAACTCATAGAAAGTGGATTAATCTATCACATGTGAAGAGAGAAAGAGGGAAAGAAAGATCAAAGATCACATTTACCTTTGTCAAATATCTAAAATCTATCCCAACTTTACTTTCACCAAAACCTCTCCCAACATTGAGTGTGTGACAGCCCCACCTCCCCCTAAGGCGAACCAAAGGGTTCGGCAGACCGCCTGCCTAGCTCTTGTCGGGACTTAGTCGTTCACTTCAACCCTTAAACAAAACCAGAATAAACCCACAAGAATAAATATAACGATGATCCAAAACTTAAAGTAAAACTTATGTACATTACTATCTCAAAAGGGAGTACAAACATCGACTATACAAAGGTTCTCAATTCACCATATATCCAACCCGTGCCGAGCACTAGGGCGAGAACCATTACAAAATCAAAGAAACTAGTCTAGACTAGTCTCTACCGAGCTCTCGTCCTTACTCGCCTTCCCCTGCTAAGGAAAACAAAACTAAAGGGATGAGTTAAAAGCTCAGTGAGGTTCCGAACACATAATCAAATAATCAATCCAGTTCAAGAAACATTTACAAGGGAAAGCGATAACAACACATTCATTAAAAGGATACAGACTTACATGGAGCTATTCGTTCGTTCATTCGTTCGTTCATTCTCCTGTCATTCCCCTTATTCCTCCAATCATTTAAAAATATATTTTTGTAAGTAAAACCTCCGTTTGCATTGACATTCGTTCGTTCATTTCATTCACCCTCTCCTGGACGTTGGTCAGGCTCCACCCGACAACAAGATAATACTCGAGTATACCAAACGTTCACACCCAGGGTCACCATATCGCCCGACCGAATCCGCTTCTGACTCGAGTCGATCGGTAATGAAGGGTAGGGCCCAATTCAGCCAAAAGGCTTACATCATGCACAACTAACATTTCATTATTTAATTATTGAAAATTTCACATTCATTTAGGTCGAGTGCGATAAAGTACACACTCGCTTAGAAAACTCATTTGAAGCAATCATTAAAAACATTGAATATGTTATCATTCGTTCATAACAAATCATATAATCAAGAACAAGCCACATAGTCAATGAAAATATAACAAACAAGGAACACTCACCTATTTAAACAAAATAACGTCCAAAGTTTCCTTCCGGATTCACCCTCAATCACCAAGGTATCCTAATATAATCAAACGAACACATTATGTTTCAACCATCAAGAATGTAAGTGAGTCAAAGAAAAGTCGAATACGTACTAGTACAAAGTATAAATATGGTTTTGGTAGTGAAAAGAGTACATGGAAACCAAAGGACATAAGTAAAATATTTGTAAAACTTAGACTCACTTGTAAAACTTTAAAATCGTTATTTGAGTTGAAGTGGCAAAGAAAATGTAAATACCCTAAATGGTTCACGTGGTATTCGCTCTCAAGCCTTACTCAAGTGGCAAGTATATCGATCTAGTTCTCGAGCGTAAATTTGGGCAGCACGCCCTTTGTATTTACCTATTTTCCAGCCATCTATGGCTTCATTCTTTTCCTCAATCAAACCCAAAATCATACACAAAATCATCTCATTTCAATAGCCATTCCATAGACTCCAAGTCATACAAGTACAAAATCAAGCTAGAAACATGTGCGGAAATGAAGGTTGAGTCAAGAAACAAAAGACAGATTTGATGTTGTTTTGCGTAACGGACACAACCGAAGCTACGTTTATCGGATTG